GGGGAGGAGGGGAAAGAAAAGTCCCAGTTTCTCTCCTCCCAGTTTTAATTCTTCGAATTTCTTTTCTACGGCAGAGCAGGGTTTTCCCCCTCTCTTCCTCCTCCTCCATCAAATAGCATCATTTGCGCTGAAACAAAAAAAAAAATTGTGTGCGTCTGGGGTGGGTGGTGGTGCACGAAAGGAGAAAAAATTGGACCCGGTGTAATCAGCCGATGATTTGTTCTCTCTCTGAATTTGCATGGCTCGGCACTTCTTTATGTGCGTGTGTTTACGTTTCCTCCAGATCTTCGTGAAGGGGAGATAAATGAATTATAAGAATAGAACGGAAATATATACGCATATGTTAAAAAAAAAAAATGAAGAGTGAGAGAGGGAAAAAAAAAAGAATGAAACACTCATGTGGCTGGTTTTGAAGCGAAGGGGAAGGCTCATGTGAGATGAGAAAGGGAAGATGCAGAAATGCAGTCTCTCACTTCGACCACTATTATTATTATTATTATTATTATTATTATTATTATTATTATTATTATTATTATTATTATTAATTTGCCGGCTCCTAGCTGGAGGGATGGTGATCATCGTTTTACTGATAAAGGCCGGGGGGGTGGCCTTGGGGAAACGGAATCCTGCCTGATTCACGAAGGGGGGGGGGGAAGAGGGAAAAAAAATTCCCTCTTCTCTCCGCCTTTGTTTAACCCGAGGTTATCTCAGCTGCCTTACCAGGGCCCAGCACCGTCCCGTCCCGGGGGCTGGCAGGATTTGTGTCCCGGGAGGGGTTGCCCCAGCCGGGAAGGCAGCAACGCCGCTCACAGCCCCGGGTCCCTCTCTCTCGGCAAGTTGCTGTACACAGGCAAAAAAAATTAATAATAATCTTCGGAGCTCTGCCCTGGGCCGTGTCCTCTCCATAACCCCCCAATTCCTCGCTCCCGGCTGTTTGTACAGCTTTACCTGTACTATTCTGGTACCCTGGAAGAAAAAAAAAAAAAAGGCAGCCCGACAAACGTAACTTAATCCCTTTTCAGTCAATTGTCGTTTAAAGGGGGGCTAAAGGAGAAGGGGGGGAGAAGGGGGAGGAGGGGGTCTGCCTGTCCCCGCCCCGAGGTGCCAGTCGCTGCGGTGGGCACCAACGAGGACGGAAGAGTGGGGTGGCCCCAGGTCCCGGCTCCACAACAGCCTTCCCTGTATCTATTTTAACAGGAAGACTTGAAGGAAAAAAAAACAAAAACGGGGGGCCCCGGCAGCTTTAGTGCCCTTTGACGGATCATTTTTGTGGGAGCGGTAGGTTGTGTGACCGCCCCATCCCACCGAGTTCGGGATTTTTTTGTTGTTGATTTTATTATTATTTAATTCCCTCCTTTTTGGGACTGTAAGTGACTTGTGTTAAAAGCGTTTCCTCGTGACCCTTTAGAGCCAGAGTTAACCCCATTCCCCCTCCCTCTATCCCTTCCCAAGCTCGGAGGGATGCTGGAGCCCCTCTCCTCGAGGTCCCCTTCCCCCCTCCCGGCAGAATTAACCCCCGAGCCCCCGACCCTTATCTGGCGACTGGTGGCGAGCTTGGGGCTAATTGCTCCAACAATGGGCTCCTATTAACGCCGAGCTGTCACTGGAAACCCTGCTGGGGGCTGCCGCGGGGGGGCGAGGTGATGGATCTGCAGCCACAGCCTGGGAAAAGGACGGTCAAGGCCAGCGCTCCTCGCAAAACCCCCGGGGATCACAGGATAATCCGAGGAGAGGAGGAAAATGATGGTTTTACCTTTTTTTTTTTTTTTCCCCCATGATTCCTTTTCCTTTTTTTTTTATTTTGGTCTTTTGGTGGGGGCAGTTTTTGCCCTCCCCACCACGACTTCCCCCCGGCTGGGAAGGGGATGGGAAGATCGAGTCTATCCAAGATGGGTTGAAAATAAAGGGACAGCCTGAGAAAACTAGATTTGAAAGCGGGGTCCTCCTCCCGTGACTGGGGCTGTGGCTGTGAGGGGCAGGCGGGGGACAGGATCCCACTGTGACACCCTTGTTGTCCCTCATAGGGGCAAGACGAGGCCGCTTCTTTTCCTCCCGCCACTGATGGGACTTGGTGTAGTTGCTGATTTATTATTTTATTTTACTTATTTTAATTTTTATTTTATTTCTTTTTTTTTTTTTGCTTTATTAATTTTAATTTGCATTAATCATTTCGTGTCCGCCAAACAGTTGAAGGAAAGCGGTTTCCCCAGTGCCTCTGGACAGGCTAAAGGCACGTTTTAAAATGGCTTAGCAATTTTGTGACCTCTGGATGGAAATTCCCCTCCTGAGATCCCACGGCTGTAGGTCTCAGGGCTGTAACTGCCGGAGGGAGGGGGGGTGGGAATCTCAGCTCACCTGCCCAAAGATCCCAGCTCAGCACTAGACGCCCCCCAAATGTTAAAAGAGAGAAGGTGACTTTTCCCAAGCTCTGGAGACGACTCTCGCCCGCAGGATGTGCTTGGGGTGCGGGGAAATTTGGAGAGGCGGAATAAAGGGGCAAATCCCGGGGAGACACTTCGCCCTCATATCCATGAAACGCTTAAAGCTGGGGAGGGCGGGAAGCGGAAAGTTTGTGCTCTTGGACGTTGCTCTCCTCTTTACCGTCCTCCTCCTCTCAGAGAAATACCTCCCCAAAGGAGGGCCCACCCCGGTGCTGGGGCACCTTAAACACCCCAAAACACCCCCACACCGCGGGGGTAGAGGCCATGGGGCCACCTGGTGCGGAGGGACCCGGCGGGTCAACCCGGGAAGTGCATCAGGAGAGCTCGCGCTGTTTTCCCTTCCGTTTCCCCCCCTCACAGTGCACCCCAGCTCCCAGGGTGTGTAAAGGAGGGGTCACCCCTCAAAATAAAAAAGCTGCGGGCAAAGCGGCTTCTCTGAGTGGGGGGAGAGAGGAAACACGAGTTCTCCCGGAGCGAGTTAAAGCCCCCGGCTCGGGGAGGGTCATCCCGCTCCTGCCTCCCCCTTCCCTCCCGTGCCCCCGACGGGATGCCGGGAGCGGTGCCCGCTCCCTCCAGGCGGCGGGACTCGGTCCTGGCGGCGTCGGCGAGGCTGGGCAGGGCTCGATGGAGCGTCGATCCCCATCCCCCGAACAGTTCTGGGAGGGGGGGCTGCCACCCCCATCTCGGCTCGTCCACCCTCCTCGGCACTCCCAACCCGGCACGTTTCCCGGGTTCCCCCCCTGTCCAGGCTACGCCGACCCCAACGTATGGCTGATTCTCGGTGTTTATACCTGCCCCGGAAGGTGACTTTTTAAAAAATAAAATAAATACATGTATATGCATCCCCACGGCACATCCTTCACGCGTGAAACCGCAGCGCTGCTGCCCTGTCCCCACGCCCTGCGCCGGGGGCTTAAAACCAGGCTTAAAAATGGGCGCCCTCGAGGACCCGGGGCATCCATCCATCCATCCATCCATCCATCCATCCATCCATCCATCCATCCCGCCGTCGGGAGGCTCAGCTCCGCCGGCCGTCGAGCGGAGCCGTCTCCCCGGGCAGGCTGAGCCCAGCCCGGCCCCACTGAGCGGGGACCGCCCCGGCGGCACCGCCGGGACACCGGCACAGTCGCTGCGGAGCCCCGGGTTTATCGAGACCCTCCCGGTATAAAAATTCCTCAGCGGCATTTCCTTCCCAGCCGGGCTGCACTCCTGCCAGTGCGGAGAGACAGAGGCACCCAGTGAGTGACTTGTTCTAGTGCTTTTTTAAAAAAATAATATTATCCTTTGTTTTTTTTCCGTTTCCCCTTCATTTTTTCTTTCACTCCCCACCCTTTCCCTTCTTTTTCTTTTTCCTTTTCTTTTTCCTTTTCCTTTTCTTTTTCTTTTTCTTTTTCTTTTTCTTTTTCTTTTTCTTTTTCT